AAAACAAAACATTCAGGGGGCATATTAATAATCAATTAGTGGAGAACCACCTGATGCTGCATATTTGGAGGAGCCTCGAGCTTCCAGCAGCTTTTTGCCCTGGCAATATCAGGTTTAAAAAAATCGTTCCTTGTTCGTCAAGAATGAGACTCCTCAAACTAATCTATTCTTTTGCATGTCATGCTATATAGTCCCACTTGCTAATTAGAGATGCAAATGTTGATAAATAAAGATGATGTTTTTTAAGCACAACTAGGTCAATAAGTTGAACACTGTGCCCTGTTTCTCCAATTAAATTCCTTTGAGAAATAACTCAATTATAATTAGAAAAGCAATTATCCCCTTGTTAAAGGTCAAACAAATCACAGATTTTAGTGAAAAATTTAGTTTTGTTCCTTCCCCCTTACCAACAAATCTTGTATCCATTGATGTTTTGATCCTAGTATACTCCAAAAGAGATCATTTTAATGAAATAAAGTTTCTCTGAGTGTATTTCTGACTCACCATGTGACAGCAACATTTTCTAGGCATAAAGTAAAATGAGCAAAGAGGGATTCATTTCATAGAGTACTGCTGTTATGGCACTGGAGCAACCCAGCACCCATTCCATAAGTGTATTAATTTTCTTGCTTCATAGGGAAACAGGGGAAGTTTTTCTGTTGAAAGAGAAGCAAATGCTGAACCAGAAATGGAAGAAAAGAATTTTATTTTTGGCTTTTTCCTAGTAAAGTGTTCTAAAAAATTCTGAGGATATTATACTAGAGTATTTCTAAGGATTATTTGTCTTTCTTTTACCTAGTCTACTTTTTAATTGTATTATTATTATTATCATTAACCTCTTCAAATAGTCCTTGAACTAAAGAAATTCTGAATGTCTTTCCATTCCTTGTCCTAATGGTTATGAAGCCTGTTTTCAGGGTGCAGACTGACTGATTTCCTCACTCTATACTGAGTTCTCTCAGTCTTCAGGGATGACAGTGTCTTTCTTCTGGAAAGTTTTATTCCCTCATGTGCAACCTGTGTCACATTCAACAGGGCCTCTTTTTCTTTCTTTCTTTTTCCATTTACTTAAATATGCTTGGAGAATCCACTAAGTGACCTACAGTCTGCTGGTGGAAGAGATGAAAGATGAGCAGGAAACCTTTTTGCTCTGAATAGATCCACATTCTAGTCAGACAGGCAGAGGAGTAAACAGATATATTTCAGAACAAGAGCACTCAGCTGCTAACCAAAAGGTTTTCGGCAGGAGAAAGATGAAGCAGTCTGTTTTCATAAAGATACAGCCTTGGAAACTCCATGGGGCAGTTCTACCCAGTCCTATTGCTATGAGTCAGAATCAACTTGACAGCAATGAATTTTTTGTTGTTGTTGTTGGTACTTAGAGCTTTATAAAATTGTGGTATACAGAGGCTGACATTCAGCCATTTACATTGGTTCATCCATTGCTGTTGTTAGATGTCTTTGAGTCTGCCACAGCTAATGACAACTCCATATATCACAAGATCGGATTGGAGTTTTCACTGGCTGATTTTCAGAAGTAGATGTCCGGGTCCTTCTTCCTAGTCTGTCTTAGTTTGGAAGCCCTGCAGAAACCTGTTCAGAATAATAGCAATATTTGAAGCCTCCACTGACAGACGAGTCGTGTCTATGCTTAGAGGTGCATCGGCCAGGATCTCTCACATGGAAGGCAAGAATTCTATCACTGAACTACCACTGCCCTTAATTTTTCTATTCCAGGTGCTAACTACTGAAATAGTTCCATATTTCTCGCTAAATAAATGAGTGACCATTCTTTGCCCTCCCTGTTTCCTACAGGCTCCCTAGAATGCTTGGACCACTACATGATCCAGCAGCTAAAGAATTCATACCCAATACAGTATAAAGCCCTTAACACTATTCTTTGCTAAGGGAGTTGTTGTTGTGTGTCACTTAGAGTCAATTCCAACTCACAGTGACCCTATAGAACAGAGTAGAACTGTCTCCTAGCATTTTCCAGGCTGTAAATCTTTGCAGAAGCAGTTTGCCAGGTTTTTTCTCCCATGGAGCAGCTGGTGGGTTCGAACTTCTCACCTTTTGGTTAGCTGTTGGGCGCTTAACCACTGTACCACCAGGGTTCTTTAAGGGAGTTGTACAGTTTTGAAGTAGTTTTTCAATAGCATCTCTAGATATAAAGAAAGGGCTTGGCAAGACTGGAGGAAGAAGCAGCCAAGCCTAGAGCCCTTGTGCTTCATCCTTGGGTCCCCCACCCCAACCATGTAATTTTTCTTAACTGATGAGTATTGAGGGAATTTGTAAGTCAAACCTGTCACCACCTGGGGAGATGAAGTGTAATGGATCCTGGGTCAACCGTTTCCTCTTCTGAGACTTTTTTGTCTTTCTCTTTATTTGGGCTCTGAAAAGTAGATCTACTGGCAATAACCTCAGCTCAAAATTTCCTCTTTGGAAGAAAATATATGAATCACTCCTGTGTTTGGGGACCGTGAAGACTAAATGAACAACACTGACTAAAAATCAGAGTGCATGGAGGTATGAACACAAGGAAGAGGTAACTATTGGGACAAAGTGGGAGGGGAGCTGTTGCATTGGGGTAAATTATTGTGCAAAGGACACAGCCTCAGTGGGACTAGACATATGTTTATAAAACAGATCAATTAAATAGCCACCTATTCATTGAGCATTTACCATCTGACTCTGCAGGACCATTTGTTATGGGATACAAAGAGGCACCTATACCTGCCCATCTTCCCTGGCATCCTACAGACTTTTTCTATTTATAGTACAAGAGTCTACCTGGTGGATTTCCTTTAAGATTAATCTTTCAGTTTATGCTACATTTATCCTGGAAAGTTCCTGAAACAAATAAATGAAATATTAAGTAATTGTTTTTATCTTAAAATTAAAATAATCCTATAATTCTTCAATCCACCAAGTAACCTTTCATCCACTTCTTTTTCTTTTTTTTAATTTGTCTGTCCCTCCTGAGCAAACAGCGATTGTAATGTGTTACATTAAGATATTCTTTAGATTTCTGGTCTTGGTGCTTTTAATAGTGTTGAAAAGAATCCACATAAGAGTTTATTAGCCTGCTCTTGAGCATATGTGTTTGATCTCACTTCTGACTTCAAAAAATGAAAGAGAAATACACATTAAATATATAGTTCTTTGAATGTCAAATGGGTATATGATTTTGGAGCTTGCCAAGTGTTAATTGGTCTCTTCCCCAGTGATGATACAAATAAAATTCACATCCAATTAGCTTGCAGTCATGAATCTTTACTCCTTGACAAAGTGAACCACTTTGTTAAGGACACTGAAAATATGAAGCAATTATTAGAATCCCCTCACTGAAAGTTTTTTCAGGGATCATTTACCTTTAAGAAATTTCAAGTAAAAAAGAGGCTGGATACCATGTTACTCATGATATATTTCATCTTTAATGCAGTGTAATGAAGAAACAAGGTTTGCATTAGCATTTGAAAAATACAACTAAGGCAACAGATGCAACTACTAGAATAACTGAAATGAAATATCAGCATAGAGGAGTGTGTCTTCTTTCTAATTACACTAAACTACACTGTGTCTCCATGCTGCAAGACAGTTTTGGTGTCATTGGATAAAACAGCTACATGCAAAGTCTCTGATGAAGTGCTAGAAAACAATCAGATACCAGTTACAAGGCAAAAAAAATTCTCTTCTTTCAAAGTTAAAAGGAAAAGTCTCATTAAGAGTGCCACTGTGAGTTTATGCATTGACACATGCAGATATGACAAAAAAAATACATATAAATTGGTAAGATTGTGTCTAAATTTCTAATCAATTAGTTATTAATATTTTTAATTTGGGAAGTATTCAGATTTTTATTTGGTTGTCATGGAACCAGCTGAGGTGACTCCTTTGTTTCAATCTTTGAAAACTGAAAAACACTGGGAAATGAAATAGTATGTGCACTGCTAATTACTAGTAATTTTTTGTACAATGTTGGAATTTAAGAGAATTATTTTACAACTTCATATATGGACAAAACTCAGGAATTTATTTTTCAAACTATCAGCTGACTGAAGTACAAGCCATGTTGCAACAACTGAAAAATGAATCTTTTTACATATGCAATAAAGAATAATGATTTCAAATGATTCAATGTAGACTGGAGGCTAACAAGGAACCACCAACTAATTGGCAGTTATGTTTCATGCCAAGTTCAAATGTGCCTGGGTTTGTAGGCTACAAGATCATCTAGTGGAATACTGTTTGATTTAAATTAGGATATCCTCTAGTTATCATGTAAAGAGTACCATTTTTAAGAGCTTCAAATTATCAGTTCCAAATGAAAGATACCGTATTAGATGATTTTCCTCAACCTCATGCTGTAAGATGATGGTGACTCTATCAAGGAGAACATTCAATTCCCTCTTCTTGGCCTATCTTCCAGAGACAAGGCATTTTTAAAGAACACTATATTGCTTGATGTTAATGGAAAATCATATCCATTTTGTAATAGTTGATTGGGAGCCAACCAATGTTGTTGTTAGTTGCCATCAAATCATTTCTGATTCATGGTGACTCCATGTGTGCAGAGTAGAATTAGGCTTTCTTTTGACAGAAACAGATGAGAATAAAGAGTTTGATGGAAATTTATAAAACTGTTTTTTTTTTTTTTGCATATTACCAAGAATAATAGTAAAATTGATGGCATGTTATTAGGTCATAGCATCTATCTTTATGATAAGTGCCAGATAAAGTAGTGTTTCTGATTTCTTGAAAGAGAATGACAAAATTAAACCAAGCCGCCTGTGGCTTTGTCCAGTGGGGCATTCTAATTGACTCCTAAGTCATTAATCAGTTCCCAATCAATCTATTTTGCCAGTAGCAGGCAGTTAGGACTCCATTACCATCCATTCATCATGTCAGACCCTAATTCACTGCACCATTAGCCACGGATTAGGCCTCTATTAGCATAACTGAGTGCCAATTGCTAAATGCAAAATATTATTGTTACTCACCTCAGCCACTGGGATGCCTTCAGGTGGCCTACACTGGAGCAAGACTTCCTGTTCCAAGGACACTTCTTTTCCCAGCGGCTCCTGCTCAAATGTCTTCCGAAGATCTAGAAAATACAGGTGATAAAGAAAATGTAAAAATTAAATAAAATATGATCATTTCTGAAAAGTGCAATCAAAATTTCTGGGTTTAGTATATGTGTTTTTTTTTTTTTTTAAACCACATGTTGTTTGTATCTTAACTTGCGTGATTATATTCTGTGTTGTAGAATTTATTAAATTCAGATGCTATGAATTTATCTACTTTAAACTTCAATGGAATGCTTTGGATATCTTCATTTTAGGTAACAATAAACCACACCAAACCAAAACAAAAATAAACAAACAAGTTGTCATCGAGTTTATTCTGAATCATCTGACTCATGGTGACTCCATGTGTGTCAGTGTACAACTACATTCCATAGGGGTTTCAATGGCCATGGTATTTCAGAATATTTCTTTCAAGGCACCTATGGTGGATTCGAACCACCCATTCTTTGGTTAGCAGCCAGGGACTTCTTTAGGAACCAATTAGTCACATTTCTTTCATATTCCTTGATAATCAACTATGATGATTAAATTTTTATCCAGAAAACCACATTCTCACTATTTTTCTATACATAGTCATTTATGCATATAACTGTTTCCCTCTTTTCTCACAATGGGTGTAATTAAAGGTATAATAACACTGGAATATTTGATAAATAAACTAAAAGCAAGTTTCTGTTTCAGAGTTGAACAGGCTTGAAAGAATGAATGTAACTTCTTGAAGATTCTCAAGCATAAGTAGGGAATAGAGGAATATTGGGAAGAATCCAAAATATGTCAATATGTGATCATATATGTAGTCATTCTTCAGTTAGAAGATTAAATAATCATTTCTGCTCAAATATACCAACTACCTAATTATGTATGTATATAGTTACAGTTGCTATAGCAATATATAGCATAGTTTGCAAAACTATTATAAATGGACCAAAAAAAAAAAGTTAAAAACCAGTTTGTCATTTTAACCACCAAACTTTTTTTTAAAAGATGATTGTGTCATAGAGATTGAAAGCAGTATTTTTTTTAAAGTGAACGTAAAAATTTTATATCGTACATGTGCAATCCATCTCCCTCCAGTGAAAAATTATTAGAATTTTATCAGCTGGATTTTAATAAACAAATTAATCCCTCTGAATTTTCCATTCCATATACATGATAATGACATAAGAATCTGAAAGTACCATTTCAGCTTATTGAATTAATGGATAGAAATTCAAAGTCTCTGGAAGTATACCCCAGTGTCATCAATGACCTACCAGAAACCACCACCTGGAAAAACACATTGAGAAAAAAATCCACTGCTTCATGCTTGCCATTTTGTTGAATTTCTTGGTAGAACTACATTTCAAAATCTTAGGGAATACGGGAAAATGATGGGTCTGGTGACATAGTGCCTAAGGCATTTGACTAACTGCTAACCAGAAGGTTGGCAGTTCAAACCCACCAGACACTCCACGAAAGGAAGACTGGGCAATCTATTTCTGTAAAGATTTACCACTTTGGAAACCCAAAGTGGGTCACTATGAGTCAGAATCAACTTGATGGCAGTGAATTTTTTTTTTTTTTTTTTAATATATAGATCTAAGCTCTGGTGTGGTAGTGGTTAAAGTATTCAGCTTCTAACCTAAAGCCCAGAGATCCGAACCCATCATCCACTTCACGGCAGAAAGATATAGCAGTCTGCTTCCATAAAGATTTACAGCATTCGAGATTCTATGGTACTGTTCTACTCTGCCCTAAAGGGTCACTGTTAGTGGAATTGACTTGATGACAGGGGTTTGGCTTATTATACATCTGGCATATGATAAGCGACTCTCTAAACAATGACAGAGCATCTGTCAGAAGGTCACTTCTGTTTTGACTATCAAGAATATAACTATATGGTAGAGATAAACTTTTAGACACACAAGTTATTAGAACTTGAAAATGATCGAAACCATGTCCTTATGTTATATATGTTCATCAAATAACCAAAAGACCCAGAGAAAAATAATCAGTGTTGGTTCAGAACTCACTGACCTTTGATGTGATACATACTTTCCATCTCACACTTCTCTCTAATATCATTTTTGGTTACTTGGTGCTCTTCCAACAGAAATATTAAAATCTTTTCTACTGAGATGGTAGTTTCCTTTCTTTTTTATTGTCATTGAACTATTTTGGCAAAATGACAAATACTAATAAAAACAAAAGCAGCAAGGAATATTTATATGGGATACAACGTTCTTGACAATGTATATCTTGTTTGTGAAGAATGATTGAAAAACTCTTAACTGATGGGTTAGGACCTAGACATGACAACTGGAATTAGTTCTCAAATCAAGTAACATATTAACTCCTTCTTACCCAAGTTAATCAGTGTATCACAAAATGTGGGTGTGAGAATAAGAAAAAGTGAGATATATGTGGGTCAAATTAGTCAAAGTGTTCTCATATAATGTTGACTAATTGTTTTTTTAGTTCATGTTGTCACCATGAATTGGATTCAACTGGATGGCAGCAGGCAGCAGGTTTGTTTTCTTATAGTAGATACTTTATTAGATACATCAATGAAGATGGTTAGATACAGAAGTAAGACTTGCTGGGTAAACTGAGGGCTGGATATGAAAGCCATTCTGCTATGTCAAAGAATGACCAACCCTCAAAGGCTTCTAAGCAAAGGAAGCATTAGATGCTAAATATGATCATCAGTGTGACAGATGGATTGAGATGTGGGTGAGGAGACAGAAGCCATTTCAGAACCCATTTGAATAGGCCAGGAGGGATGATGGAGTCCTGAACTCAGCTGGTGATAGTGGGCAGGAAGAGGAGAGGCAGATCCTAGAAATAGGTAACAATCATTATATTATTATATCATTATATTGTTATATTATTAGCTACTGCAAAATTGAATGAAATAGTACCAAACTGATAGGGAAGTGGGAAAAAAGATAACACATTTATTTGGTACATGTTCAGTTCAGTCTGTCTGTAAGATATTCAAGTGGAAAAGTCCAGTAAGTCCATATCATATCACAAAGGCTTATAAAATTTAATAATTGACATTTGGAACTGAATAATCCTTTGTTGTAGGGGGCTGTCCCGTGCATAGTAAGATGTTCAGCAGCTTTCCTGGTCTTTACCCACAAAATGCCAATAGCACGCCTCCCAGTCATGACAAAGAAAAAAAATTTCCTACAGATATTGTCAAATAATACTTGGGGGAAAAAAATTACACTTGTTTTAGAAACACTAATCTAGAGGTCAGGAGCCCTGGTGGCACAATGGTTAAGTGCTCACCTACTAAGCAAAGGTTGACAGTTAGAACCCACCAGTCACTCTGTGATAGAAAAGACCTGATGATCTGCTCCTATAAAGATTAGAGCCTAAGAAACCCTATGAGACAGTTCTATTCTGTCCTAGACAGTCACTGTGAATCGGAATTGACTCAGTGGCACATGATAACTGCACTTTAGAGCAATGAAAAACAGTCCTTGAGAGGATTTATGATTCATTGTCTCTGAGATAGAACTAAAGCACTGAAAATTGTTGATATCACCAGCAGATGGGTGCAGCATAAAATTCATTGAAAACATCCAAAAGAAAAGAAAACCCCAACATTTAAGAAGAGAAATTGCCAGCAAATAATGGCATAGAGTACATAGAATGGGCAGAAAAACCAAAGAGGTAAGTGTCAGAGGATCCAAGAGGAGAAAGAAATGTTAGCAACTGGGGTGGCCACCAAGTCAAATGCAGCAAAGAATTAAAAAAGAGGTCATTGGTTTGGGTAATTTAGGAGAGGAGGTGGGTAGGGCCCAGTCTGACTCAGTTGAGTCAGTTGAGGGTTGCCTGGGAATTGGGAAAATGATCATTGTGAGTACCCACTACTCTTTTCCAAAACCTTACTAAAAAAAAAAAAAAAAAAAAGAAGTGGGCAGCTCCAAGTCTGAGTGCAATATGCTAAAATTCTCCTTAGAGTATGGTGTAAGCTTTGGCACAGTTTTCAAATTTATGTCATATGAAGGCATAGCTTCCGTAGATCCTTTCCTCCTACTTGACAATAGCAATGGCACATGGTAGACACATGTTTTAACAGACATGTCTAATTGTAAACCATCATTGCATACTATATAATTATTTTATTTTAATGGTCTGGCTGTAAACTCTATATAAATTTTATCTAATTTCTAAAATGAGCTCACATTTAACCCCCCTCGGGGTAATACTTCTTCCTGAAAAATCCTTTTAATTCCTGCCATAAAAACCTCCTTTCTAGCTTTCAGATTGTGTAATGAGAGAAGAATATATTGTAGCTGTGCAGGACAGCAGCTGCTCTACGCGGTATCCCTGCACATTACTTTACAAGGGGAGGATGAGGGTGGATAACATTTTAAGCATATCCTTTATCACTCGGAGAGATGTGTTGGAAGGCAGGTTGGATGCCTTCCAGGCAGAGAGAACACAAGGGTGACAAATGAATAAGCATGAAAAACGGACACTTGTCAGCTAAGAATTGGATGTAAAACAGAATGGTTCAGAATAAACGTGGGCATTCCTGTCAGAAATAAGATGAATTTCTACCCTTGTAAGACCTTTCCAATTCTATGTTTCTGTTTTCCTTCCATTAGTTCTAAGGCAGCTACTAAAATAAGTATCAAGTCCTTTCATTATAACCTAAATTACTTTTGCAAAGTCAGCTTGGCCTACCTCTGATTTAGTCATTGATTCTACCAATTAAAAGAAAATCAGTCTTGTCATATGCATGCATTCAGAGAGATGTTTACTTAAGAACATGAATATTGGCTTACCAAATCCATACAGCAAAATCCAATTAGCAAATGTAGAATCAGACCTCAAACTATTATATATGGATTTCTACTTACCATTTACACAGAAATAAGACAGTCTTTTTTTGAAGACATAGACACACACACACACACACACACAGTCTATTTTTCATTACAGAATTTGAATTCTTCCAGTGGATTTTTTCCATAAAAACAAGGACTATTGTTAAAAAGATCTATAGTGTAGAGTGCAC